CAGGTAAGGAATGCTTACAGGTGAAGTCTTTCACTCTGTAGGTCGCAAGTATCATGAAAAGGGATCTTAGTTATTGTTCAGGTTTTCCTAAAAGCTGGTTTTGTTAAGCAGTGTGCCTCCTCTGAGATGAGAATATGTGACTGCCATTGGAGTCAGAAGGGCTTTAAATCTACTTTCCATGTAACTTAAAAACCTACCCCCCCCCCAAAAAAAAAAACCCACCAAATTTACTGATTAAAAAAAAAAAATCCCCACAAATTTGACATCTACAAAGTAAGATAATCTTGGAATGCTGTCTGGCATGTCATGGAAATGTTCTGTCTTAAGCATGAGGATTGTGTCACACTTAATGTGACACCTGCAGGTTTCTGGAATAGAGAATTTACCCCAAGCCATTGCTGGGCATTGCTAGCTCCTGATGACTTACAAATGAAATGGGATAAATACAGGTGGAAGTCACCTGCTCTAGCTTCCCAGCAGCCCCCCTCCCTGAATTTATGCAGCGATGAACTAGAGTACTCTTCCATCATCTCACCCAACCATGATGCCATTGCGAAAGGACATACCAGAGCAGCCATGTGGAAAACAAAAAGGTGTCCACTACAGTAAAGGTGAGCTTGTGCATCAAAGGAACAAGGCAAATCGGGGAGCTCTGTGAAAGGGAGCCCTGGCAGGTGGCAGGAGATGTCCCTTTCTGACAGTGAAATACCATTACAGCAAGGACTCAGCCCAAATGCTGACTCTGCTCTAGTCAAGCTGTCTTGTACTGTGTAACTGAGACTCTTGCCTGGTTTGCATTTCACACAGTTGCCCGAAGTCAAGATCTGGCTCCTTGTAGAACCTGTGGAAGACGTTTTGCACAAGATGTTCTGGTAAATTTTATTTTATTTTTTTTTAAATGGGAATGTTAATGAGGAATGTTAATGAGTTTAGCTGAGGGGTGGTGAGTGCTGGGGAAGGAGGAGGTGGCTGCTAGTAAAGAAATGGGTTAAACACATGTTGAAAGAGCGAATGATCTAATAACCGATTCAGTTAACTAATAAGTGAGCTTGATTAGAGAATTAATGAACGTGCACAGATCTTAATTTACCTGCTTGTCCAAAACCAGGTGATGGCTATATATTGTGTTTAAAATTGCATTATCTCTTGATGAGACATAAATTACTAACCTGAAGCTTCCTTTGATTTCCAGGTTTCTAGGCAGAATTTGTTATTTCAGGCTTCCTGGGAAAAACAGACTAATAAACCATCTGATAAGTAGTCCCTTTGACAGCATAATGTGGGCACCAGGCTCTGTTCCAAAGCCTGCTGAAGTGAATGAAAAGATTCCCCCTGACCTCCCTCATCCCTGGATTACAAACTAAATGGGTGGCTGCACATTTTGCCTGGCACAACCCAACCACAGGGGTTTTCTGCAAGGGGGTGCTCTACACGCACCCCTCCCCTCCTCAGTTTGCATCACTGATCCTGTGGCTCTGTGGTAGATCAGATCAGCTGCATGATAGAACTAAAATCTGATTTAGTGAAAAACCAAAGAACAGAAAGGTACACAAAAACCAGAAGAAAAGTACACTGGAATCTGAGCAGCTGAGTGCTGAGACGAAGGTGGAGCTACCCTGTGTTAGTGGTTCCATGATTGGTATCTCTGATCAGACACACAAAGAACATGATGGTTTAATCTAACAAAATCATTTAAAAGGACAGCTATCCCTATTTTGAGGGCGACTGGAAGTTTCTCGTGACTGTGACTAGGATGAGATACAAGTCCTGTAATGTCTGTCTGTGCCCTGATGATGCAGGACTGGCATGGTCTTTGGCATCTGCTCAGCAAGTATCTGCTGCCTCTTGGTCCTGCAGAGGAATCCTGTTCTCAGGCTTGCCATTAAAAATATGTAGAATCAGAAGATAAGGACCTGAAGCGCATGAGTAGAAAGGTTCAAAGGGAAATGTGAATTTAGAAATGCGTGTTGTCGTAAAATGAGGTGCTTTTTGGCCCAGCTGAGCTGTAACCAAAATACAGGCAGCTGCTTAACTCTTCTTCTCAGTTACTTGGACGAGCAACTGAGAACTGGAAAGGGGGAATAAGCAAAGGAAGATAAGAAAGGGGTCTTTAATTTAGCAGCTGTGGAGGGGCTCAAATAGGTGTGATCCACAGTACAAAAGAGAGGAGGTAGTTTGGTCCTCACTTTCACTGTGTTCCTCACAAAGGGGATTGCCCATCCTGTTGCAGAAGAGTGAGGTTGATGCTAAAATCTGAGACACTTCTGAACCTTAAAACCCCCTTTGCCATGAAGCGTGGCTCTTCCACAGATTCAGCACCGGGTATCTGTCTGCCTAACATTCCCCTGTGCTTTCAGCTTCAGGTGTTATCCCTAGTTCTCCTGAGCTCCTGGGTTATGTGTGCTGGTAAACAGCTCCCTTGCAGCCTGGGGCTGTCACTGTTTTTGGTGGTGGTGATGGAATGGACAGAGCTGCTGTTTGTCAGGGGAGCCTCTGGTCTGGAATACTTACCTAACCTCAAAGAACTAATAATGTAAATATAGGCCCCTTAAACAGGATCAGCCTGTTTTCCCTTTTAGCCAAGAAGGAAAGAAAACCAACCAAGTGTGGTGGGGAGAGGAGAGAGCCCAACGGGACTGTTCCTTGTTCACAGCCCCAGTCTGTTCTCTGCAAGCCATTATTTGTGCTGGCCTTCAGCACATCCCTGAGCAGAATAAACTGGAAATGGCTTCTATTTCTTATTTGTGTGGAACTGCAGCTGTACTTGGACAACTTTTCAAAGTTTCGCTGAACTCCTTCACGAGTTAAACTGAACCTGAAATAACTACTGCGTCAGCTCCCTGCTGCTGAAGAGCAGGGATTTTTAAAGCCTGAGTAAGGAAGCATCACTAACAAAGTATGGCTTCAACCTGTAAATGACTGTTTTTCTTCGCATCCCAGCTGAGACATGATCCAATATGTAGGAAAGTCTTCAACAAGAAGCGCAAGCCCTTCAGCTCTATGAAACAGAGACTGCAGGGAACAGAAATCATGACTGTTAGGAAGCAGCACCCACAAAAGGTATAGTTGAAATCGAAGCTTCTGCGTTACCTCCATATTTTCATTCAGTAATGCTATTGTTTCCTTAGAGGACAAAGCCTGGAAGCTGTGGATGAGTCTCACATATGTGCTTGACTTGGTGCCAGATTCTTTCCTCCCCTCCCTGTGCTGCTAGTGTTTGAGAATATTTCTCCATTCAGAAGCCAAACCAGTAGGTGTCATGACTACCCTGGGCACGTAAGTGTCTCTGCTCTCCCAGGAAATGCTCATCCATCTATTTTAAAGACTATGTGAGTCTCTGTCAGCTTCCTCTTCACTTAAATCTGAAATAGAGTGTGATCCAATATGGTTGGTGCATTAATGCCCCAGGTTGTACCTGAGAGCTGCCAGTAGCCCCAGATCCTCTGCAGATGGAGCTGCGGAGATTCATTGCTATTGAACTCAAGGGTTTAAAAATGTATTTAAATTTAACTTATTTACAAAGCTGCAGGGCAAAAGGCTTAAGCTGGAACAAGGTTCTTTTCATGCATTGCTGGGGAGGAAGGAAATACACATGGGCATGCATGTGTGGAGTTTTACCCAGAGATGCCAAATTGCTGCTGATTTGGTATCCATGCAGACTGACGTAAAATGTCCTTTAAAATCAGTTATGAAAGAAACAGAAGCACACAGAGGTTTAAAGCAAGAAGAATAATCTGTCAAGCAGAGGAGAAGGGAAAGTGTGGGTGATAGTGTCTCTTCTGTTCCCTCTAGAGCACCTTTTGGTCTGGCGGAACCCCAGTGTTCTGTTTGAGTGCATTGTTCATTTATCCATCTTCTGGTGCTGTCAATAGACAGCAAAGGGCTAAATCAGCTTTTAAAATGTAAATTTCCTTTTTCTGTAATATTCTTCCTTTCTTTCACAAAGGAAGAACCCTCACCCTAAGATTTTTCTCTGTCTTTTGCAAGGGAGAAATTTAGTTTGTGCCTTCCTTTACTTGCATTATAGAAACAGCCCGAGAAGAAATCTAACTGGAGGCAGCACCATGAGGATTTTATTAATGCTATTCGATCAGCCAAGCAGGTCACAAAAGCTCTGAAGGAGGGCCGCCCTCTTCCACCTCCTCCCCCACCAAGCATCAACCCAGGTTTGTGGTCTTTATCTTACTACCATTCTGTACTCATCATTGGTAAAGCAGTGACCGCTTATTATCCACTGCTGGGCTTCAGTTTGGCATCTCCTGGCACAGCACAACGTGAACATTGATTTCATCCATAGTCTCTAAATTTCAGCTGTATGTCTTGGCTTAAATTGAGTAGGAGTGCAGTGCAGAGGTGGTGTGGAGGAGGAGAATACTACCTTTTAAGTTTAAAGGTGGCAAGTCTGTGGTCTGGTATTAGGCAATGTTTTGGGAGGAGATTCAGGCTATACCATGGTGAAATACATCCCTGCACCATTCAGAACAGCTGTAGTGCCCACAGGCTTCCCCACTCCCCTGTGGTGGCTTTTCCACTGTCCCCTTCCCCACCCAGCTGTGCAGACAGGGGAAGTCATTTAGAAAAAGAGGGGTCTGGTTTACTACTTATACCAGGTGTGGTCTCTGCACAGAGCTCACCATGGTAGCAGTTATGGATCCAAAAAGAGGCACATGCAGCCCGTATTTCTCATGATATGTGATTTATGAAATGTGGGAGCGGTCTTGGAAAGGGTCCTAGTGGAGTTCTGCCTGCAATAGGAAGGTGAAGGGCAGGAGGGGAAGGGGGGCTCTCTGGGCTTACTCCCAGAGCAGGAATTATTGACTGATAGCAAAACCAGCTGCTGTGATTCCAGGCTTTCTCCTCTTCTAGATTACAGCAGTGCAGTATAAGCAGCTGGACACATCTTCCTTCCTTGATTGGGGTCAAGCTCCTCTCTGAACTTCCACTGCTGAATTCTTTAATAGCTCTTGTCATTTCTTGTCTGACTCCAAGAGCAGACCCCTCCCTTTCCTTCTCCCTCTTGGAGGAAACCGAGCTGTGCAAGAGCAGTGGTGGCTGTGGAGAAAGGAACTGGAGAGCTGCTTTTTAGGAAAGGCACATTGCCGAGGGGCCTAGTGAGGATGCATATCCTGTGCTACCTGATTGTATAGCCTGTGCTACAGGACTGGAGAGAAAGCCCATGGACTGTGGGGAGGAGAGAGAGAGGTATTCTCCTTCCTTCTATGCCTCCTCCAAACAGAGCCCAAAGCTCCCAGTTCTCCCCTAAAGTGCCAGGACTCCCTGACAGCCCCCCAGAGTATCTGCCCTGTCTCATCCTCCCCTCCCCTGCATTTAAAACCATTTTGCCCATGCTGCTGGTCTGGAGCTGGCTTTTGGTGGCTGCTTGGGCCACCTTTTCTGGGTGGTTACTGAGAGAAGCGGTTTGTAAAGATACCGTATGTGTAACATTGGGATAAGGACACTTGGGCTGTTTTGTATTAGTCAGGGAGGAGGGGTCTGAGAATGACAAGGGGATGCAAGTGCCGAATGTGACTGCGTTGACCGTGAACACCGACTGTTCATTGAAACAAGTAGGACTGCACCAGTGATAAATGTCACTGAATAGGTTTTAGCAGAATTGGGATGTAACACTATCAAAACCGACTCTAGGAAGAGCTGCTGTGTGTTCTTCACAGTGCTGCTCCACACCCAGAAACCTGGCTCTTGGATGTGCTCGGCTGGTGAGGCACAACTTCTTCAGCAGTGTTCTGCCAAATAGCAATCTTAATGACCAATCTCCAAAAGTAGTCTTAAAATCATTGGTTTTGACTAATCTAGGAACTTTTGAATAATGCTTTTTCTGCAGACTTGTTAATTTTGAGGTTGGGGGTAGGAATAGGACAAAGATGATAAAATCTGCTTTTATCAATCAGCCGGGATTTATTTCTGAAAGCAAATACTGTTTACTGGGTTAATACTGTAAGCATGTATTTTAGGATCTCAACTGCTTTTCAATAAGAGGTTTTTGTTGTTCTCCTAAGTTTGTACTTTGGGAGCTGATGGGAACTCACCGTGGTCACCTGCTGGTAGAGCCAGGTTTTGAACTGTGTCTTGAGCGCTCCTGTAAAGCAAGGCAATTCTTCTCCTGTAGTGTATAAACTGACACAAGTTGTTCCTTCCTTATGGCCAGATTATATTCAGTGTCCACACTGCTCACGAAGATTTAATGAAGCTGCAGCAGAGAGGCACATAAAGTTCTGCGAAGAACAAGCCATCCGCCGTGCCTTTGCTGCAAAGACCACCAGACCAGTGGTAAGCAAACACAGTCACACTTGCCTTGTCCTGCAGGCAGATTTCCCAAACTGTAGCTTAGGGCAAGTAAAGACATATATTAATATAAAACTTCAGGTTCCATGGAATCTGGTAAACTCTGAAGACAAGATACATGCTGAATATCAGCTAAGGGTTCCCCAAAACTGGAGCTCCTTGTCTCCAGTTTTATAAAAAATGGCAGAATACCATAGTACGAGAAAGTTGGTCTCCAGACTCTTCTGTGAATGAATCCAGGGTAACAGCTGTAGGGAAGCAGAAACCTGTCAGCTTTTGCAATACATAGGGAAAGCTCTTCCTGTTCATTAGGGCTCCCTGCTGTTGGCAGGTTTGATGTTCCCTGCGGATGTGTAGCTGATTTATTCGCTGGTGGCTAGACACAAGGCCAAAGGGCTAAGCCCTTTGGGAATCAGAAAAGTGGAGCTCATCAGCAGTCTCTGGAAGTGAGCTCCTATTTTATAAAAAAAAAAAACCAAACAAACAAAACAAGCAAATTAATGTAAACAGTTCTTTTAGGAGAGTACTGATCCTCTTTAATATGTTTGAAAATCTTATTACTCTCTTACCTATTTTGGGCAGGGAAGAAAGCTTCCAAGTGGGAAGGGGTGCACCTTTTCCCCTATTGCTTCCTAACACTGCTTCAGCAGCGGTTTGGAGTTTTCACCAGGCTCTTGCTGGAGTTAAATGTGGATTGTGGGTCTTCTTTTACCAGGGCAAGCAACCAGTGACTCAGAGAAAACCTCCAACAACTGCTGCATTACCACTTCAGAAGAGAGCACAAGAAGGTGCCAGTACAGATGAACCTAGGCCAGATACAAGTTCATTTAGCCATAACTATGTTTTGCTCATAAGAAACTGATGTATTTGAGGTGGGGGTTGGCATTTTTTGAGCCTATCCTGGGCTTTAGAATCCAGTTTTCTGATAGAATAAAAAATCTGTTTTTTGTTGGGGTTTTGTTTGCTTGGTTGGTTGGTTTTGGGTGGTTTTTTTGTTTTGGTGTTTTGGTTTTTTTGGGTTTTTTTTTGTTTTGCTTTGTTTGGTTGGGTTTGTTTGGGGTTTGTTTGTCTGGGGAGTTTTTTCTCAAGCCCGGGCCTTGACATGAAATACTAAACTCATTTCTGTATAACGCTTGTCAGAGATGAGAAGGGTCAAAAATTATCAAGTGGATGTTGTTGATGTTAACTGGCTTGCCCAGTCATTATCCTCGTCTGTCCTGCTGAGTGCAAAACCAGGTTTGCATGTGGGTACTCAGGAGGCACTTCTCAGCGTTTTCAATTAGAGGTCCTCAAACAGAATTATCTATATAGACCTAAAATATGCCGTCTGGGTTTGAGGTTTCTTGTCCCATAAAGAACTCCATAACCCTTAACCTTCAACTTTAAGATTCGTTCCATCTTCTTTATATTTTCTTAAGCCCATTTAGATGAAGCATCAAGTTTTTATGTTGTTTGTTCCATATGAATTTCCCCTTGTTGATTCAGCCTTATAATTAACATTGCTACACCCCTAAAACAGTTCCCTCTAAGCGAGATACTATATAATGTGTTTGATAGCACCTGTTGCTACTGGTAATCATAACCTGTACTCAGTCTATGTTTAGGAGATGTTTTACAAAGTTATTTTAATGGTTACTTGCAGTATAACCTATGAATGATAACACATACTGCTCTTTATATCAATATCTTTGATCCCTACATTTCTGGGGTTTACGTTGAATTTATGGGTTATAATGTTTTATTTTAACAATGATCTGCAGAAACCTCTTCAGGAATACTGCAGAAACCCAAGAAATCTTTGGGTGCATCGACTGGACAAAAATCTTCAGCATTTGGGTAAGAAATCATTTTTTTAGTTGTTTCAACGTTATAATATAAAAGGACCTTCTGTGCTTTTGTGTATATACGGTATCTTTCTGCAGAGTTTGCAGTATGAACTTCTTTGTATTAACTGAAGCAATCAACTGCACTGAAAACTTGCAGAGGTCCTCATGTCCCCAGCATAGGCTGCTGAGAATATTCTTCTGTTGTTACACGGTCTCTGGTTTGGAGCAGCTCTATCTCCAGTGGAGTTTTGCTGTCCTTGATTGCAGATGGTCAGTGGCTGTGGGGACGACTGCAATAGGCATGGGAGCATTCAGTCCAGACTTTGCCAGCTACAGAAAAAACTACTGACAGTAGCCAGTGGTCTCATCTGGTGCTCTCCACTGCCCTGATTACCTGTGACTGTGTTAAGAGTGTAGTAACTTTTAATGGTTATCATGCAAGGTCTTGCAGACCAATAAGGATTTATTGATACTACACCACTCTCAAGATACAGCCACTGAACTCTGCAACTTGGGGTTTGACAGGCTTGGGGAGGAAACACCTCTTTCCCTATGGACAACG